TGGTGGAATATTAATCATGACCATGCACGTGACCATTATCATATCATGACTGGAAGTAATGATAATCATGTTTATATTTCTGTCATTAGTCTGGTCTGGTTTGTGGCTTGCAGTGGTGACCTAAGTTGCCGGGAAGTTACATGCTCAACTGCAACTGAGCGGATCCAAAATTTTGCTTTTCATTGACTTGCATGCTGTTTTGTTGTACAGGGATTATGATGGAAAAGTGACTCCTGAGGAGCTAGCAGCTGCAGCCATGTACTTGAAGGATACTCTTGGCAAAGAAGGAATTCAAGAACTCATCAGCAACCTTTCCAAAGATACAGGTCAATTTTCAATTTTGTTTGAAGTCTTTTAGCTATCTGAATGCCATTTTTTTAAAAATTGACACTGTTTGTTTGGTAACAATTAGCAATACCACACTTGATGGTCGGTGAGTAACTTTCAGCAACTATACTACTAAAGAAGTCATTTTTTGATAACCGTGTGCGCATCCTCAACTAAAGAAGTCACGTATTAACTATACAAAATCCTTGATTGAAGAGTCCCAAATCTCAAGTGTCCTAAATAAACCAGCTTAACTATATGATCAACCTGTCTCACTGTATATTCAAATAGATGACCTATTTGCTCATTCATGGTAAATAATAGATGTCAGGAAGTTGGTGATTAACATTGTATGAGCACCAAAACTTCCTTATTATCTAGAACAACTACTTTTTTAGGTTCCACATCTTTTAATTGCTTTTAATTATACATTCTTTTCAAAGACGTGAGCCTCAGATTTTTTATTGGATTAGTACTGAAGTTGCTGCATTTTGCGATTGAAATAAACATGGTTTTATAAGAAGCAACTCTTAATTTAGGACCTACAATGTAGATTTTCGTATTTGTCATTAATTATCTTAATTCACAATTGACCCGAAAACTGAATGTCTTTTTATATTTGTTGCGTCTAACTTCTGTTGAGTGTTTTTGTTGCAGACGGAAAGATTTTTGTTGAAGATATTGTTAAGCTAGGCAGCCGCGTAGAAGATGCTAGGTCCAATGAATAGACAGAATAATGCAACAGTTTTGGCATCTTACAAAATAATGAAACAGTACACTTCACTAACCTAGTTCAGTCATGTAATTAGGCCTCCAATTATAGAAAGTCACTGTCTGTAAGTTTTCATTTCTCCTCCTGTCAATATCTTTAGGTATTTTTCTTCTTTTGTGTGTTTAAATTCTTATCAGTGGTCAATGAAGTCGTTGATAATCCTGAGGCCTCAGGTTCAAAATTGAGTGGAGACAAAAAAAACATTAGGTGATTCTTTGCATTTGTCCTAGCCTTGGTGGGCAGAGTTATATAGTATCTGTTGCTGGTGGAAAGTGGGAGGCATACGTGGAATTAGTTGAGGTGTGTGAAACCTGACCAGTCCGGCCACATGTTTGGTGTGCAGGGTAAGGGTTCACGTGTCAATTGTCAGTTGCATGATTTTTGGTACAAACCCCACTTCCCCACAAGTACAAACAACAATACAAACTTTGAAAGGTGGGAGGTGACAGATATCTCGTGAAATTAGTCGAAGTGTGCGAAAGCTGACCCTTCCACATGTTTGGTGTCACGTGTTAATTGTATCAGTTGCATACTTTTTGGCACGAGCCCCCACTCCCCATGACTGCTACAATTATACCACCTCAAACCTCGAAAGGTGGGAGGTGATAGATATCTCATGAAATTAGTTGAGGTGTGCAACAACCAACATGCTTGATGTGCAAGGTAAGGTCCACTTGTTAATTGTGTCAGTTGCATGCTTTTTGGTACAGGACCCACTTCCCAGGGCTACAAATAACACCACAAATCTCAAAAGGTGGGAGGTGGCAGGTAGGTGTGTCAAATGGGTGGGTTGAGTTGAAATTGAAAATATTTAAATGGATTGAATAGAAAATTGGGTTGGGTCTTGACCCGCTCAAGTTTACTTCGGGCTCAAATGCTAAAAAATGGGTTAGGTCTTGACTAGCCCAATTTGACCCGATTAATCTCACTAATTTAACATTGATGTTTAACTTTTATAATCACAATTTGATATTCTGCTCAAGAGTTTTTTGTTAAAAAAAGTAACAAATAGATAGATAAATCCTAAAAGATGTTAAATAGATAATAATTCATACCTTCAATATGGGAACATATCTTAATAAAAAGTTTTAAAACAGGTTGAAATTGGAGATTGAATTGGGCTCAATTGAGAATTCTCTTCAAATGGGTTGAGATTGAACCTAATTCAAATTATTTGAGCTCAACCCTTAAAATTCTTGACGGGTTATCTATGTGTGTTCATTTTTGACACCCCTAGTGACAGGTATCGAGTGAAATTAGTTGAGGTGCGCGCAAGTTGGCCCGTTTACAACTTGGAGTGCAAGGTAAGGGCCCACATGTTAATTGTGTCAGTTGCCTGCTTTTTGTTGCAGCCCCACTTCCCACAGCTACAAACAAAACCCCAAACCTCGAAAGGTGGGAAGTTACATGTATTTCGTAGAATTAGTTAGTTGAGCACCTGACATGCCATGGTTGATGGTTAAGTGCTCACGTTTTAACTGTGTTAGTTGCATGCTTCTTGTTCCCAAAACTACGAACTACACCACAAACCTCGAAAGGTGGGAGGTGTCATGTATTTAGCGGAATTAGTAGAGGTACACGAAAGCTAGCCCGTTCGTATGTTTTGTGTGCGGGATAAGGGCTCACGTGTTAATTGTGTCAGTTGCATGCTTTTTGGTACAAGCCCCCACTTCCCAAGGCTACAAACAACACCAAAAATCTCGAATGGTGGTAGGTGTCACGTATTCCGTGGAATAAGTTGAGGTGCGCTCAAGCTGGCTCACTCACTTGTTTTGTGTGCAACGTAATGGCCCATATGTTAATTGTGTCCTTTGCATGCCTTTTGGTACAAACCCTCACTTCCCGCGACTACAAACAACACCACAAACCTCAAAAGGTGGGAGGTGAGAAGTATACCGTGGAATTAGTTGAGGTATTCGCAAGTTGGTTGTTCACAACTTGGTGTGCAAGGTAAGGGCCCACGCGTTAATTGTGTCAATTACATGCTTTTTGGTGCAGCCCCCATTTCCAACCTTGAAGTGGAGATAATAGATATCCCGTGAAATTAGTTAAAGTGTTTGAAAGCTGATCCGTCCATGGTGTGTAGGGTAAGGGTGCAAGTGTTAATTTTCTTAGTTGCATGCTTTTTGGTACAACCCCCCACTTCCATGCTACAAACAACCCCACAATCCTTTTTCTTCACGTTTTTCCGTTTACAATGACAGAAGTACTTAGGTTTTCTGTGTATTTGCCCCCACTCAAATTAATGCTCAACATTTAGGATCGTTTGGTTTGAAAACAAGTTAGGTTAAGAATTAGGATTACTGAATAATGATTGTTGATTTTCTAAAGACAATTTACATATTATTTATTAGTTCAAAACTAGATAGAGAGGATTGTCTTACTTTTCAAATAATATTATTTCTTTAACATGTATATTCATTTTATTTTGGAAGGAAATATTGGAATAAATCAAATGAATTAATGCTACAATTAAAGTTAAATAAAAATGTGCATGGCTAAAATAATTTAGCAAAACTTGTGAATCTTTTATATATTTTTAATTAAAAATTCATTGGGCTAATTTATTTGAATTTGTACAAAGAGAAGCCCAAGGTGGCCCATCCAACTTAATGAAACAAAACAAAAGAAAAATGCAAAATAGGAAAGAGAATGAAAACAAATAAATCACAAGAGTTAAACACATAACATCCGGGTGTTCTTCTTTCAAAATGAAGGTTTGTTTATTTTGTATTTTAAGGTTACAGATATTAATCAATAAGCTTAATATTTTTTTATGTGCCTAGTTAATTATAATATTTTTTTTAGTTTCGCATGTTTATTATCTATTTTGTTGTCTAGCTCATTTATATTTTGACGATTATCATGAACCAATAGTATTGTGTTCTTATTCTTACTTTTGTTTGTTCTCCTTTCACTATTTTTTATTTTCTTATTATTGAATATTTCTAAGTCTCTCAAACGTTCAAATATTTTAAATTATGTGATATTTATTATTGTGTGTTTATAAAAAGATCAAATTTGTGTTTGGTGTCTTATTCAAATTTCAAGCGCTAAAACTAATCAACACTATTTTAATATTATTTATTAACTTATCAAATTCATCTCTACTATTTTAATATCATCATCTTTTTTAAAAATTTGAGTCATATTTTATTAGTCCAAACTTTATATTGTATAATTTTTATTGAAAATTTACATTATTTGCGTTTTTACTTCATAATTTCTATATATATCTTGCCTCTTCACACCTCATTTGTAGAATCACACTAGTTTATTATAATTATTCAATATATATTTATCAACTATAAAAATATTGCCTCTTTATAATGTTTGGTTTTAGGCCCCAAACTTGTTGAGACGACCCTGATAGTTTGTGAGGTAGTTACTTGTCACTTCGTCAGACATCCACTTACTCTTTCTTTTTATTTTTGTTCTGTTCTAGACACAAAGACATTAAAACTTGTATTCCTTTTTATTACTTAGAGACTTGTACACGTGGCACCAGTTCTTGGAGGCATTTAGAGTTATGTAATTATTTTTGCAGATTTATATTATGCTAGTCCTTAAATCTATTTTACTTCCGCATTTAATCTTATTTCGTTAGGTTTACCCTAACATATTTTGGTGGAATAACACGTGTGTCATCACACCTAATTGTTTAAAGCCACTATGAGAAAAAAATGTATTTTTGTAATCATTAAACTAATAGTTTTATAGATCCTAAGCTGATACTGTCATTCACAATAATTAATATTTGACTATTGAATAAAAAAAATAGACTAACTTAACACTATATATATAGCATAATACATAAATGTGTTATTTAACTTGGCTTCAAATCACATTTATGTTTTTCAGCTTTGGATGTGCACAAATAAATACTTAAACTTGTATAAAGTTGAACAAATAGACACGCATGTACTACATGTCATTTTTCCTACGTGGTTTGTGCCACGTGGAACTCATGTGTTTATTTATTTTTAAAGTTGGATAATTAAAGTGTCTGTTTGTGCATTATGAAAGTTGAAAGTCAAAGTTAAAATTTGAAGTCAAATTTAGGGTCTAATATATATATTATGTCATATATATATATACATGCCCAGCCCTTTATATCTTTCAAGTCAGGTAAGAGTAGTGCAGAAAATGGAAGAAAAATCCAACAAATCTCATATTTTAGTCCTCCCAATCCCAGTACAAGGCCACATAAACCCAATGGTTCAATTTTCCAAAAGATTGGCATCAAAAGGAGTTAATAAAGTGACTGTAGTCACAATTTACTCTATTAGCAAAAACATGCCAAAAGAGTCTGGTTTAATCAATATTGAGTCCATTCCTCATGATGACAAGTCTCCACCACAAAACATTGACCCAATGCTTGAATGGTTTCATCTTTTGGTATCAAAAAATTTGAGAAAAATTGTTGAGAAATTATCTGATTCTGTGTACCCTGTGAAAGTTCTTGTTTTCGATTCGGTGGCAACTTGGGCTATTGATCTTGCACATAAGTTAGGACTAAAAGGGGCTGCTTTTTTCACACAACCTTGTTGTCTTAGTGCCATTTACTATCATATGGATCCAGAGACAACCAAAGTTTCTTTTGATGGCTCTGATGTATCTTTGCCTTCACTTCCATTGCTTACAAAGGAAGATTTGCCTTCTATCATCTATGATACTGATTTGTATCCAACTCTTAGAGGACTTGTCTTTAGTCAGAACATCAATTTCAAGAAAGCAGATTGGCTTTTCTTCAACACATTTGATGCATTGGAAAAAGAGGTACTATTCTCTTATCTTAATGTTATCCTTTGGGTCCACCCCATTTATATACTTGTGTTGGGGTTTGTGAAGGGTAGAATCTATGCAGAGCTTATCATATCTGAATTATCTTAATTTGACTTTCCTCGCCTAGTCCACCACAGTAATCACTCTTATCTTGTCCAGTATATCTTTGTTCTTAATGTTATCACTCCTAGTATGTGTGCATATTTACTTCAACATCCTCATTTTCGCTAAACCTCATCTTTTGTTCAATTATTCTACATACAAACATAGAATGGTCAAAATTAGAGGAGTAGATCTAGATCGATTTTTTTTTTTTTACCATATGACTATACCTAATATGTTTGGTTTCTAATATTTTTAAAAAAGGATTTAAGTGGTTACATTTCTTTCTAGAGGAAAATCGATCTAAATCAAACCATGAATTTTATACAGATAGTCGAGTGGATAAGGCCTCGATACCCAATCAAGACTGTCGGACCAACTATTCCATCGATGTATCTTGACAAGAGACTAATGGAAGACAAAGAATATGGTTTGAGTCTCTTCAAGCCAAATAGTGAAATTTGTATGAAGTGGCTAGATTCAAAGGAAATTGACTCTGTTGTATATGTATCATTTGGAAGTTTAGCCAGCCTTGATGAACAACAAATGGAGGAGCTAGCTTTCGGATTGATACTGACAAAATGTTACTTCTTGTGGGTTGTTAGAGCTACAGAAGAGAATAAACTCCCTGAGGAATTCATGTCCAAGTTATTCGAAAAAGGACTAATGGTGAATTGGTGCCCTCAGCTCGATGTATTGGCTCATCGATCAGTTGGTTGTTTCTTTACTCATTCTGGATGGAATTCAACCCTCGAGGCATTGAGTTTGGGAGTGCCAATGGTCACCATGCCTCAATGGTCGGATCAACCAACTAACGCGAAATTCATTAGTGATGTATGGCAAACAGGAGTTCGCGTTAAGGTTGGAGAAAATGGTGTAGTTAATAGAGATGAAATCGCGAGTTCCATAAGGGAAGTCATGGAGGAAGAGAAAGGTACAATGCTTAAAGAGAACGCAATGAAATGGAAAAATTTAGCTAAAGAAGCAGTAGATGAAGGAGGGAGCTCTGATAAAAATATTGAAGAATTTCTTTCAAACTTGTAATGCACTAAATTGAGTAACATATTCATAAAACATTTGCTTTACCAATGCCTCAAAATTTTGAATTTAATTATTGTTTCATAATGTATGGCGATAAAAGGTATGGACTTGTTATTCAGAATATTGATGTGACATTTTATTTAAAGCTACATATATTTTATTTTTATTTTTCCACAGAAGCAAAAACTATAATTTTTTCGGAAAGATTTTTAAACAAATTTCAAGCGGGACCAAAAATTCATGACCACCGTATATGAATATCATTCATGTAATATTAAATGATTTGAAAGTTTAATATTTACCCAAAAAGTTATAATCTATCACTAATCACAAACAAATCTATGAGAATCATGCTCTATAATAATATTCATTTTGAAAAAACAAGTTTTTTATAAATTCATTTTATATGTTATATTCTATTATATAAAAAAAAACTTATCAAGTCAAAACTAATTTTTTTTTAAAAAAAGACATTCTTTTTTAAATGACTTTATATTTGACTATTCTTGGTCAAATTCTCCACTTAAGACTAGGGTGTGTTTTCCCTTTAATCTTATCCAAAATGAAAAAGAACAAAAAAACAATCTTTAGGTCTTGTTTTCTTGAGATTGATAAACTTACAAGTTAAAAAGAGTAAATTTAGTGCACAAAATGGAAGAAAAAACCAACAAATCTCATGTTTTAGTTCTTCCATTTCCAGTACAAGGTCACATAAACCCAATGGTTCAATTTTCCAAAAGATTAACATCAAAAGAATCAGTTAAAGTGACCTTAATCACCATAGACTCTGTTACCAAATCTATGCCAATATTAGAATCTAGTTCAATCAAGATTCACTCCATTCCACATAATGATGAAACCCCACCTCAAAGTTATGATCTTTTTCTTGAATGGTTTCATGTATTGGTGTCAAAAAATTTTACAAAAATTGTTGAGGAATTGTCTGATTCTGAGTATCCTGTGAAGGTTCTTGTTTTCGATTCGATAACAACTTGGGCAATTGATTTGGCACATGATTTAGGGTTAAAAGGGGCTGCTTTTTTTACACAATCTTGTGCTCTTAGTGTTGTATATTATCATATGGATCCAGAAAAAAATAAAATTTGTGTTTTTGATGATGATGATGGTGTTTGTTTGCCTTCACTTCCATTGTTGCAAAAACAAGATTTGCCTTCTTTTGTGTGTCAAACTGATTTGTATCCATCTCTTAAGAAACTTGTATTCAGCAGGAATATCAATTTCAAGAAAGCAGATTGGCTTTTGTTCAACTCATTTGATGTGTTGGAGAAGGAGGTAATAACCCCCCCCCCCCCCCCATCCCCTCCTCCCCCTCTTTAATTCATATTCTTGTTGTTAGTAAATTGTGTTTTTGGTGTGACTGGTAAAGTTGTTGTTACGTGATTAATTGATTAATGAGTTCAAGTTGTGGACAAGGGCGGATTCATGAGGTTAGGTGGGAGTTCTAGGGGCATCCTGTATTTGTATTGAGAAATTCGAAAATACGAGTTGCAAAATCATATATGGTGTGATGTTGATCTAGTGGTAAAAGAGGGGCTTGTTTAGCTATATTACCCTCCTTGGTTTAGGGCTCAAATCCCCTCGGTCATCGTGTAGACTTTTGTTTATAGAAATGCAGGATAAGGGTACCTGCAATAGACCTTATGATCTAGTCGTTCTCTCGTGTATGGTGAGAGCTTAATGCACTGAGCTATCCTTTTACGACTCTTTATCGAAAGGGTAAAAACTTACTACGAAGTTATAGGTCTTAATTATGTTATGACATTCTCTGACTAGAAGAGAAATGTATCAAGAATAAATTAGAAGTTCAAAACTTAAAAGAGTTTCCGGTTATAGAAAGTTTCTAATTCTGTTGCTGAATTTTTGTACAGGTGATCAGCTGGCTAAGGACACAATGTCGAATCAAAACCATCGGTCCACTTATTCCATCAATGTATCTTGACAAGCGACTAAAAGATGACAAAGAGTATGGTTTGAGTCTGTTCAAACCTAACAGTGAAACTTGTATGAAGTGGTTAGACTCGAGGGAAATTGGCTCTGTTGTTTATGTATCATTCGGAAGTTTAGCCAATCTTGGCGAACAACAAATGGAAGAACTAGCTTCAGGATTGATGATGAGCGATTTCTACTTCTTGTGGGTTGTTAGAGTTACAGAAGAGAACAAACTTACAGAGGAATTCATGTCCAAGCCGAAAGAGAAATGTCTCATTGTGAATTGGTGCCCTCAACTCGATGTGTTGTCACATCAAGCAGTTGGATGTTTCTTTACTCATTGTGGATGGAATTCGACTCTGGAGGCACTGAGTTTGGGAGTGCCGATGGTGGCCATGCCACAATGGTCAGATCAACCAACTAACGCGAAATTTATTAGTGATGTATGGCAAACAGGAGTTCGTGTTAAGGCTGGAGAAAATGGTGTAGTGAATAGAGATGAAATCGCGAGCTCCGTAAGGCGAGTCATGAGGGAAGAGGAAGGTATAATGCTTAAAGAGAATGCAATTAAATGGAAAAAATTGGCTAAGGAAGCAGTAGATGAAGGAGGAAGTTCAAACAAGAATATTGAAGAATTTCTCAAACTTGTAATAAACTAGACTTGAATATTTAAATAAATTTGACAAACTTTGATCAATTTATGCATCATGTTCTTACATTGCATAATTACGTAAATAATACATGTATAATGCCACATAGGATATAAAAATTGTCATGTTGGATGTCACGTATGATCAGAGGCGGAGCCAGAATTTTCAATAAGAAAATTGTCATGTTGGATGTCACGTATGACCAGAGGCGGAGCCAGGATTTTCAAAAAGAGGGTACAAAATCTGTAGAAATAGATAGACGAAGGGGGTTCAACGTCTACTATATATACATATAAACTCATTATAACCATGTATAAATAATATAATTTTCCAAACCCCCTTCATACAAGGTAGCTCCGCCCCTGTGTACGACACACATCTATTTGTTCAATTTTATACATGTTTAAGTGTCTACTTGTGCACAACTCGAAGTAATAAACATGAATGTCAACTGAATTTAAATTAAAAAACACATTTATATATTATGTTTATAAAATATACGTCAAAGCTCACATAGTTTATATCTCAAAAATAAAAAGTGTCCTATAGATTAAAACACGACCAATATCACACATCTTAATAACTTATACTCGAATATTTTAGTCCAATTTTATTTTTTTTTTTATTAAAAATCACAAATACCTAAAATAATAAATATGGGCCTTACAGATTGAAACTTCCAAGCCCAAATAAACTCCAATATGAAACCCTAATCTCAGTTTATTTTTATTTATATGTCTGCCGCCCAATTTCGTTACTAACATACACACCAAGTTGTTAATTCCATTTGTTATCTCTCTCCCAACTTATTTCTTCCTCTTGTTACGATACGAGTTTAAGTTTTATGCATCATCAATATAAATAGCTAACTTTTTATATCATTCATGTTATTGTTATTTATCTTGACGATGTATATAGTTTGATTGTTTCAAAAATTTATCGCAAACATGTTTGTTTTATGTGTGTATATGTGTGTAATTTATTGTATACCAGACATATAGTCAGGTGTCCACCAAATTTAATTGGCGGACACCGTTACACGTCTGGAAAACAAAGGAGAAGGGAGTAAAAATGTTAAATGGGTTTTTCATCTAACGTTTCGATCTCTCTTCAAGTGTTCATCGTTGCCCAAATAACTAGTTTATAGTTTTTGAGCTACATCTGGACTTAACATCGCTATTAAAATTTCATTGCTAATTTATCGTTAAATTGTTCGTATCAAACAATTTTTAAATTATTTACGTAGCAATTAAGATGGAAAATCTTGTATTGTTACATGTTTGGTATAGCATGTGAAAATGATTAGGCGTGTTCCTGATTTGAGTTGCTCATCACTAAGTCATCTATTCAGGGCTCGTTCGGTGTGAGAAATTAAAAATAATTGTGATGAGATAAAAGTATTTTATCTTATTTGGTTGTCGTGTTTGAAAATCTATTTCATCATTTATATCATAGTGATGGTCTAAGTTATCTCTATACATCGTGGAAAAAATTATTCCAGAATAGCTAATCCAAGATAACTTATTCTAGGATAACTTGTTTTCCAATTAAACGACCCCTTAATATATAGAGATGGATTTAAAATTTGTATGTGTTAACTGTTGGAAATTTTACGAAAAATATTTTGTGAGGACAACTTGAAGCATGTCAACTATTACTGCATAATTCAAAAATCTTTTCTAGTAAATTATGATATTGAGTCGATATAAATTTGAAAATATTTTCAAATGACTTATATAATCTTATGTGTTGATTGTTGGAAATTTTAGGAAAAATATTTTGTGAGGACAAGCAAGAAGCATGTCAACTAATATTGCATAATTTAACATTCTTTTCTAGTAAGTAATGATATTGACTCGATATAAATTGGAGATATTTTCAAATGATTATTATTTAAAGAGAATAAAAGTGACTCGATATAAATCGATGATATTGACTCAATATAAATTGGTGATTCGAAACCTATTTCCTGTAAAATAAGATTAAGATACCATCCATCTAATACCAAAATGCTTAAGACTCGTGCAAAACAAAGGTCTTCATTACAATTGCTTACAGAGGTTCTCAGAATTTGTTTTCAGTAAAGACTTTTGAGTTTTACGAGGCACCACATTCATTGGCTCACATACACGAAAAAATTATAGAATTTGTGTGATTTAAAAAATGGTCTGTAAACGTAAAAATAAATGCTAAAAAATGATGTGAGTATAAGTGGTGGTTCTAAAGCTCATTACAGAGGTCTTTATATAAAAGTTTCAGAATTATTTTTGGGTGCACTGAGGCGCCAAATCTATTGACTAATACAGACGAAAAATCGAGAAATTTACAAAGTGACTAAAAAATGCCTGTAAATACGAAAATATGCGTGAGAAAAAAGTGTGCGCATACGTGGTTGTTCCTTAATTCATTATAGAGGTTCTAATAATATTTTTTTGTCCAAATTATATTTTGGTGCTCAGAGGTGCCACATCCATATGCTAATACATACGAAAAATTAAGAAATTTGCGTAATTTCTAAAAAAGGCACGTAAATGCGGATATAGCGGTTAAAAATGGTGTGAGTATAAGTGGTGGTTCCTTAACTCATTATGAAGGTCCTTATATCATAAAAATATATTGGTGCTCTGAGACATCAGATCTATGGGCTAATACATAAAAAAATTGAGAAATTTGGGTAATTTTTTGAAAAGGAGCTTGTAAATGCGCAAATATGCGTTAAAAAAAATGTAAGTATACATGGTAGTTCTCCAACTCATTACGGAGGTCCTCTTAAAGTTTTTAAAGAAAATTTGTTTGGGTGCTTCGATGAGCCAGATCCATGAGCTAATGCATGCGGAAATTGGGAAATTTTGGGCGATTCTTACAAACGGACTAGTAAATGTGGAAATGAGCATTAAAAAATGGTGTGAGTATACGTGAAGGTTCCCCAACTACTTACGGAGGTCCTCATAATGTTTTTTGAGAAAAAAATTTGGTTGCTCTGGTCGCTAGATCTATAGGCTAATACATATGAAAAATCAGAAAATTTGGGTGATTCTTAAAAATGAGCTTGTAAATGCGGAAATGAACATTAAAAATTGTGTGAGTATACATCAACGTTCCCCAACTCATTACGGAGGTCCTAATAAAGTTTTTGGGAAATATTTTTTGGGTGCTGAGGGCGCTGGATTCATTTGCTAATAAACACATACAATCAAGGAATTTGGGTAATTCTGAAAAAAGGGCTTATTAATGCGGAAATGGTCGTTTCAAATGGTGCGAGTATAAGGTTTCCCAGCGCAATACGGAGGTCCTCATAATGTTTTATAAGAAAACCTTTTTGGTGCTCCAGGCACTCGATCTATGGGCTAATACACCCGAAAAATCAATGAATTTGGACGATTCTTAAATAAAGGCTTGCAATGCTGAAATGAAAGCTAAAAATGGTGTGAATATACGTGAAGGTTCCCCAACTAATTAAAGAGATCCTCATGAAGTTTTTTTGAGAAAAATAATTTGGATGTCGGGCGTCAGATAAATGGGCTAATAGACAGAAAAATAAGAAATTTGGGTGATTCTTATAAAAAAGGCTTGTGCATTCGCAAATGAGCGTCAAAATGATGTAAGTATACGTAAAGGTTACCTACTCATTACCGAGGTCCTTATAATATTTATTGAGAAAAAAATATTGGGTGTTTTTGGCGGTAGATCCAAAGGCTAATACACACGAAAATCAGGGAATCTGAGCGATTTTTAAAAAGGGCTTGCAAATGTTGAAACAAACGTTAAAAATGGTGTGAGTATGCATGAATATCCCCCAACTCATTACGGAGATCCTCATAAAGTTTTTTTGAGAAACATTTTTTGGGTGCTCCAGATGCCAGATCCAAGGCTAATACACACAAAAAATAAGAGACTCTGGGCGATTTTTTAAAAAGAGCTTGCAAATGCCTATATGAGCGTCAGAAGATGGTGTGTGTATATGTGAAGGTTTTCCAACTAATTACGGAGGTCCTGAAAAAAACTTTTAGAGAAAAATCGTGGGTGCTCGGGGCAGCAAATTCATGTGCTAATATACATGAAAAATCGAGAAATTTGGGTGATTTTTTAATTATTTTTTTTTAAAAAATGTTTGTAAATGGAGAAATGAGAGTTAAAAATGGTGTGAGTATACGTGAATGTTTTCGAACTCATTATGGAGGTCCTCATAAAATTTTTTGAGAAAAAAATTGGGCAGGTGCAAGATCTTTGGGCTAATACACACGAAAAATTAAAAATTTGAACGATTCTTAAATAAAGGCTTGTGATGCAGAAATGAGAGCTAAAAATAGTGTGAGTATACGTGAAGGTTCCCCAACTAATTAAAGAGATCCTCATGAAGTTTTTTTTAGAAAAATAATTTGGGTGTCGGGCGCCAGATCAATGGGCTAATAGAAAGAAAAATCAGAAATTTGGGTGATTCTTATAAAAAGGCTTGTGAATTCGGAAATAGGTGTCAAAATGGTGTAAGTATACGTAAAGGTTACCTACTCATTACCGAGGTCCTTATAATAATTATTGTGAAAAAAGTATTGGGTGTTTTAGGCGCTAGATCCAAAGGCTAATACACACGAAAATCAGGGAATTAGAACGATTTTTAAAAAAGGGCTTGCAAATGCTGAAACGGACGTTAAAAATGGTGTGAGTATGCATGAATATTCCCCAACTCATTACGGAGGTCCTCAGAAAGTTTTTTCGAGAAACATTTTTTGGATGCTCCAGGCGCCAGATCGAAGGCTAATACACACAAAAATTAGGAGACTCTGGGCGATTTTTAAAAAAAAGAGCTTGCAAATGCCTATATGGGCGTTACAAGATGGTGTGTGTATATGTGAAGGTTCTCCAACTAATTACGAAGGTCCTCAATTTTTTTTAAAAAAAGTTGTGGGTGCTCGGGGCTGCAAATTCATGTGCTAATACACACGAAAAATTGAAAAATTTGGATGATTTAAATTTTTTTTAAAAAAGTATAAATGCAGAAATGGGAGTTAAAAATGATATGAGTATACGTGAATGTTTTCCAACTCATTACGGAGGTCCTCATATAATTTTTTGAGAAAAAAATTGGATACTCCAAGCGCCAGATCTTTGGGCTAATACACACGAAAAATTGAGAATTTGAACGATTCTTAAAAAGGGATTGTAAATGCGCAAATGAACGTAAAAAATGGTGTGAATATATGTGAAGGTTCCCCAACTAATTAAAAAGATTGTCATGAAGGTTTTTTGAGAAAAATAATTTGGGTGTCGAGCGTCAGATAAATGGGCTAATAGACAGAAAAATCAGAAATTTGGGTGATTCTTATAAAAAGGCTTGTGAATTCGGAAATGAGCGTCAAAATGGTGTAAGTATACGTAAAGGTTACCTACTCATTACCGAGGTCCTTATAATATTTATTGAGAAAAAAGTATTGGGTGCTTTGAGCGCTAGATCCAAAAGCTAATACACACGAAAATCAGGGAATTTGAGCAATTTTTAGAAAAGGGCTTGCAAATGCTGAAACGGGCATTAAAAATGGTGTGAGTATGCATGAATATTCCCCAACTCATTACGGAGGTCCTCATAAAGTTTTTTTGAGAAACATTTTTTGGGTGCTTTAGGTGCCAGATCCAAGGCTAATACACACAAAAAATAAGAGACTCTAGGCGATTTTTAAAAAAGAGCTTGTAAATGCCTATATGGGTGTTAAAAGATGGTGTGTATATATGTGAAGGTTCTCCAACTAATTACGGAGGTCCTTAAAAAAAATTTCAGAAAAAAATTGTGGGTGCTCGGGGCTGCAAATTCATGTGCTAATTCACACGAAAAATTGAGAAATTTAGGTGATTTTTATTTTTTATTTTTAAAAATTTGTAAATGCAGAAATGGGAGTTAAAAATGGTGTGAGTATATGTGAATGTTGTCCAACTCATTACGGAGGTCCTCATATAATTTTTTAGAAAAAAATTGGGTACTCCAGGCGCCAGATCTTTGGGCTAATACACACGAAAAATCGAGAATTTAAACGATTCTTAAAAAAGGATTGTAAGTGCGTAAATGAGCGTTAAAAATGGTGTGAATATATGTGAAGGTTCCCAACTAATTAAAGAGATCCTCATGAAGTTTTTTTGAGAAAAATAATTTGGGTGTCGGGCGTCAGATCAATGGGCTAATAGACAGAAAAATCAGAAATTTGGGTGATTCTTATATAAAGGCTTGTGAATTCGGAAATGGGCGTCAAAATGGTTTAAGTATACGTAAAGGTTACCTACTCATTACTGAGGTCCTTATAATATTTATTGAGAAAAAAGTATTGAGTATTTTGGGCGCTAGATCCAAAGGCTAATACACACGAAAATCAGGGAATTTGAGCGATTTTTTAAAAAAGGCTTGCAAATGCTAAAACGGACGTTAAAAATGGTGTGAGTATGCATGAATATTCCCCAAATCATTACGTAGGTCCTCGTAATTTTTTTTTGAGAAACATTTTTTGGGTGCTCAAGGCGCCGGATCCAAGGCTAATACACACACACAAAAAAAACTCTGGCAATTTTTAAAAAAGAGCTTGCAAATGCCTATATGGGCGTTAAAAGATGGTGTGTGTATATATGTGAAGGTTTCCAACTAATTATGGAGGTCCTTAAAAAAATTTAAAAAATTGCAGGTGCTCGGGGCGGCAAATTCATGTGCTAATATACACGAAAAATCAAGAATTTTGGATGATTTTTTTTCATTTTTTAAAAAAAGTTAGTAAATGCAGAAATGGGAGTTAAAAATGGTGTGAGTATACGTGAATGTTTTCCAACTCATTACGGAGGTCCTCATAAAATTTTTTGAGAAAAAAATTGGGTGCTCCAAGCGTTAGATCTTTGTGCTAATACACACGAAAAATTAAAAAATTGGATGATTCTTAAATAATGGCTTGTAATGCGGAAATGAGAGCTAAAAAGGGTGTGAGTTTAAGTGAAGGTTTCCCAACTAATTAAAAAGATCATCATGAAGTTTTTTTGAGAAAAATACTTTGGGTGTCTAGCGTCAAATCAATGGGCTAACAGATAGAAAAATCAGAAATTTGGGTGATTCTTATAAAAAGGGCTTGTGAATTCGGATATGGGCGTCAAAATGGTGTAAGTATACGTAAAGATTACCTACTCATTACCGACGTCCTTATAATATTTATTGAGAAAAAAGTATTGGGTGCTTTGGGCGCTAGATCTAAAGGCTAATACACACGAAAATCAGGGAATTTGAGCGTTTTTTAAAAAAGGGCTTGCAAATGTTGAAACGAACGTTAAAAATGGTGTGAGTATGCATGAATATTCTTCAACTCATTACGGAGGTTCTCATAAAGTTTTTTTGAGAAATATTTTTTGGGTGCTCCAGGGGCCAGATCCAAGGCTAATACACACAAAAAATAAGAGACTCTGGGCGATTTTTAAAAAAGAGCTTGCAAATGCCTATATGGGTATTAAAAGATGGTGTGTGTATATGTGAAGGTTCTCCAACTATTTACGGAGGTTCTTAAATTTTTTTTTTAGAAAAAAATTGTGGGTGCTCGGGGTAGCAAATTCATGTGTTAATACACACGAAAAATTGAGAAAATTGGGTGATTTTTTTTTTAATTTTTTTTTGTAAATGCAGAAATGAGAGTTAAAAATGGTGTGAGTATACGTGAATGTTTTCCAACTCATTACGGAGGTCCTCATAAATTTTTTTGAGAAAAAAATTTGGGTGCTCCAGGCGCCAGATCTTTGGGCTAATACACACGAAAAATTGAGAATTTGGACGATTCTTAAAAAAGGATTGTAAATGCGTAAATGAGCGTTAAAAATGGTGTGAATATATGTGAAGGCTCCCCAACTCATTACGCAGTTCCTCATAAAGTTTTTTTAGAAAACTTTTTGGGTGTTCGAGGTGTAAGATTCATGGGCCAATACACCCGAAAAATTGAGAAATTTGCATAATTCTTAAATAAAAGATATGTAAATACAAAAATAGATGTTAAAAATTTTTGTTAGTATATTGGAGGTTGCCCAACTCATCAAGAAGGTTTTTATAAACTATTTTTAAAAAAAAATTTCGGTGCTCCAAGGTGTCAAATCAATGGTTTAATAGACATGAAAAATCAAGAAATTTATTTAATTAATTCCTACAAAAGAACATATAAATGCGGAAATATGTGTTAAAATTGTGTGAGTATATGTGACGATTTTCTAATTCATGCCGAAGGTCCTCATAAAGTTTTTTTAAAAATAATTTTAATTGCTTCAAGGCGCTCAGATGTATGGGCTAATACATATAAAAAATCAAGAAATTTGTGCAATTCCTAAAAAAGAACCTGTGCATTCGTAATGCTTCACAACGTCGCCAAGTCCATGGATGATATACATGAAAGTTGGTAATTATATTCCTAATAGTTGGTTCGTAGATTCAAAAAAATGCTGAAAAAATGACGGGACTATATATACATAACGTTTTCCCAACTCATTAGACAAGTTATCATATAGTGTTTTCAGAAAATATTTTCGTGTGTCGTAAAGACGCCATATTCATGAAATAAAACACACAAAAAACGGCGAAAGTCGAATAATTCCTAAAAGTTGGTTCATAAATGTTAAAAATATGCATAGAAGAATGGCGAGACTATACATAATGCTTCCCCTACTCATTACGGAGGACCTCATATAGTTTTTTCTGAAAAAAATCGGGTGCCCAGAGATGCCAGATCCATGAGCTAATAAACACGAACAACCACGAATGTTGGATATTTCTAAAATTTGGCTCGCAAATGCGAAAATATGCATGAAAAAAATGGCGGAACGATATGTAAGGTTTCCTCAACTCATTACAGAGGTCCTCATATAATTTTTTTCAGAAAAATTTTTCGAGTGCCACAAAGGCGTCTAATCCATGGCTAAATACATATAAAAAAACTAAGAAAGTCCGATAATTTCTAAAAATTGGCTCATAAATGTAAAACTATGCGTGAAAAATCGACGGACAAGATATGAAAGAATGAACCTACACACAAATAATTCAAAGATTTCTTTTGAGATATTAGAATTATTTTTTTCAAACGTTGGGTGCCACACCTTTTTAATAGTTGCATGGTTTCAATATTTACCTAAGAGAGGAGGAATAGGTTATCTTATATCCCCTTCACCATAGGGACAACTTTGGCTTGATGTTTGAGAGAACTTAAGTTGGGAGATATCGATAGAGATGTGTACAACGATCATGTGATTACACTAAATCAATCAGTAATTATATAAAATGAGATGTTTTTATGAGATGCATATAACGATTATTACATAGAGATGTATATAACAATACGATACACTGAATGACTGAAATTTAAATAACTATCAAAACAAACATAACATTTAGAGCTATAGGCAATACAATATTAGGTAACACAACACACAATTAGTTACTATCATCCTCATATGCTTCAAGAGCCTTACCAGCCAAACTCAAAACCCTAAAATCATCAGAAATTGTAGCACCCATATGTTTGTAAAAATCAAGTGTACTTTCATTCCAATCCGAAGCATACAAATCAATGGAAGAAAATCCCATTCTTGCAACCTCCAACGCCATGGTTGAAAACAACCATTTCCCAAACCCTTTCCTCCTATAACACTCTCTTATAAAGAAGTTCTCCATGTGGAAGACTGGATTCTCGAAGAAACTCGAGAAGCAAGGGTAGAACATGACATATCCAGCTATAAAAACATCATGTTGATCATGTTTGACAACTCTAAACTGCTCTGACTCCTCATCTACGAGGGGCATGTTAAGATCAAGCTCCTTCATAGATAAGAGCGACTCAATAAAATTAGTGGCCTAAAATCAAATTATGATACCAAATAGATGGGCATGTCAAGATCAACTTCGTTTATGAGCGACTCAATAAAATTAGTGGCCTAAAATCAAATATTATGATAACAGATAGAGAAGTTATGCATATTTGTCATACATACCTTGGAGTTATTCTTGTCATTGGCACAAGATGGAAAAGGATCAGTAGAGACTTCGATTAGAAGTGTAGTAACAGGACTAAGATGAGGATATTTCGAGTTAAATAGCCCCGAGGCAATGGAGGATTCATTCGATTTCAGGAGATGAGTGATGTCGTGGTAAACGAATAACTGTTGCATGAGCTTGTATATGTGTGGGACATCGCATTCAATGGCAACCCTAATTCTGGAAAAAAGTTTTTGGTTGAAGGTTTTTCCGTTTGACGATGAAATAGGAGAGATTAAAGCCATAGAATATGATATGATACGATACGATAAATTACTATTCAAAGTTGAGTATGTTCATATTGATCATATAGTAAGTGCTTTTATAGAAAAACTTGCAAATGCATGCATGTGGTGATGATTTTTCTATGAATTTAATGATAGATTAGAGACACTTGATGGCCCCACAGTTGAAGTCAACAAATTAGTTGTTCCCAATGTTCAGTTTTAGGTTGTTCAGTATTTTATAAATTTTCATTTTTAATTGTCAGTTTTAACTTATTAAAAAAGAATTTTTTATTTGGGAAATTATTTTTCCAAAGCAAAGACTGTATATCGATCACTTGATATAAATATGAATATAAATATAAATATTATAAAGAAATACTTATATTAATTATTATTTATTTTTTAATAGATTAGCAAAAGAGAATCACGTAATTGTTCTGATTTAAAAATTTAAAAACGTATCAGTTACGTAATTGTTCTAATTAATTGACATATTCCAAAAAAGACGGCAAATTAGCAACATGTATTTAACTCTACTTATTGTATGTATGTATATATGCACACATAAAAGATGCTCTTTTCTGTTCTTTTTAAATTCTTCTGACTTGTTAATTCATTATAGTGAATTAATTTGAGTAAAATAAAGGCAGCAAATTAGTTACATGTATTTAACTACTACTTATTATATATAATATATAATATATAAAAGATGCTCTTTCTGTTCTTCTTAAAATTTTCTGACTTGTTAATTCATTATAGTGAATGAATTTGGATAAAATGATACAATTTAATATTGAGTTGGTAAAATATGGTGGCAATTCAGCTATCGACTCATGGTATTTGTCAAATATGGTTTAATTTAAGTCTAATCTTATCCAAACCAACAAAAAATTATTTTAATAGAAATTGAACTTCTTCGGTATTATCAAGTAAATTTAATTTTGAAGAGAGATTGTGAAAAAAAAATATACATAAGAGTAGTTAATTATTATTATTATTGTTGATTTTTGGACTTGTGATCTTTGTAAAACTATGCAAATTGCAATAACAAGTGTGTGTAATATATTAATTAAGGGGAAAGGGTTTGATATAACCCTTAACTTTGTCATTTAGAGCTGATATACCCATTGTTGTGAAAGTGACTCATATATATCCCTACTTGTAAACAAATAACTTACATATACCCTTTTTCTCTAACGAAAATGAAAAAATTAATAATTTTCAATCTAAATTTTTACTATTTTTTTCTGAAAATTATAATCCCATATGAATAAATTTCTTCATCAAAAATTAATTTTATCAGATTTATATAAGGGATGTGAATTGAAAAATGTGAATGTAACGACTAACATAACATGGGGAATATAAAAAAAAAAAGTCATAATTTCTTCATCATTGATAGCATAGAAAAATAAATATTGTCCTTATATTAAAAAACACTTTCTTTTAACTTAGGGTTAAAGGTGGGCTATGAATTTGACAAATAATTGATTGATAATTTTTATATAAAATTTATTTATTAATTAATTCGCAGATATTTTTAAATTATTCTCCAAAAGAGGCCATGCTACCTCCAGAAGTGAGTTTGCACATGTTCAACCCATATTATTGCCTGTATTGGATTTATTTAGCAACTGTTAAGAAACTGAATTGGAGAAAGAAAACTCCATTGAAGAGTAAAAGGAAGAACAGAGAAGCTATGAGGAAGAGGAGGAAAAATCTGATATTGAAACTTAACCGTACTAATGCTACTTACAAGCAAATATAATGACTCAAAACCCCAACTAATTTACTGACCTTTTCTAACAAACAAACTAACTAACTAACTAACTATATTTACACTCTTAACAATGTGTAATTACAATTAGTAATGCTAGGGAACTTGTACACATTTAGTTAGTTTTTTTACACCCCCCTTCAAGCTAAGAGCTATGAAGATGTTCTTCATTCCTAGCTTGGACATTAGATACTTATGATGGCCTTTTCCAAGTGCCTTGGTAAGCATATCTGCAGGCTGTTCTGAAGATGGTAGATAGGCAGTGATAATCATTCCATTCTTGATCTTCTCTCTAATGAAGTGACAATCAATATCTATGTGTTTTGTTCTTTCATGAAACACAGGATTGGCTGCAATTTGCAATGCTGAAGTACTATCTGAATGAATAGACACTGGTAAAGAGATATCAACTCCTAATTCCTGAAACAAACCAGCAGTCCAAACAATCTCTGCAACAGTTGAGGCCATGGCTCTGTACTCAGCCTCAACTGAACTTCTGGAAACTGTAACCTGCTTCTTAGACCTCCATGAGATAAGTGATTCTCCATATTTGATTAAGTAACCAGTGATTGACCTCCTGCTGTTTATGCATGAACACCAATCAGCATCACAAAATACTTGTAAACTATCTCCCCCAGTTGATGACATTAGAATTCCCAAACCTGGTTCTGTCTTCAAATATCTGACCAGTCTGAGTGCTGAATTCATGTGCGAAATTTTTGGTGCATGCATAAATTGACTTAGACATTGAACTGCAAAAGATATGTTTGGTCTAGTGGTGGTGAGATACAATAACCTTCCAATCAATCTTTGATAACTTGCAGGATCCTCAAGAAGTGTATCATTATGTGAAGAATCCATGTGATCATCATATTCTGTGGAAGTGAGTTTTAAATTCATTTCCATAGGTGTTGATACTGGTTTAGCACCTGATAATCCCATGTCAGCTAGTAACTCTAAAGTATACTTCCTCTGGTGTATGAGTATCCCATT